AAGATGAACAAAAGTCTGTTTAATCTTTCTTTTAGCAATAAGCATACTTAGTGGAAATTTTACTACTTTGGGATTGATGTATTCTGACAGAGAGAATTATAAGACAATGGAAGCAAATGCATAAAACTTATGCATAAATGCATAAGTGAAATTACTGAGTTAACTCACATTAGATAATTCAGTTATCAAGTAAATAAAATTTATATTCAAAATAATAAGGTTAAGACCCTCCATATTTCTGAATCGACTTCATTCTTGCTAAAACTAAGCTAAAGTCATAGTGTTAGCTCTCCCAGTGCAATAAAAGACTCATCTTGACTTTTCTTACTTGTCCCATCACTCACTAGCATAGATTTGAATGGCAGTTCCATATTGTCATAATTTTAAGTGACAGTTCCTATAAAGGAATAAACCTGTATTTTATTACTGCTAAAGGAAAAAAATTGCAAACCAGACTTAAGAGTAACATTCTAGAGTGTTGCTTCCAAAATCCTGATTGACTTGCTCACCACAGCAAGCATGTAATTACCCTACTAAATAACATAAAGACATACACCACAATTTTAAAAATAACACCAATATTGGGAAACTTCAGTCTACATAATAATAGCACTTTCTGTATAAATCCTGTAATTTCAAGCTAACTATTTCTAATGCTTTTATCAAGTTCTATTCTTCTTTTGTTTTTACCTGATACACCTGGACTTGTAGGTAAAGATTTAAAAAATAAAATAAAAAAAAGGAAGTGTACAAGTATTCAAAAATTTACCCTATCTATGCAAAAAACATTCTTGTAGAAAAACATCATCTCGAATTTCATTAACTTCTATTTCTGTTAAACATTGTCAACATTTTACCAGAGTTCAGGTCTTTGGAATTCAGGAAATTGCTGCAAAAACCCCCCACAGTAATAATAAAAATACACTGCTGGAAATATGTTAGTCCATTTTTTTTAATGTGTGATATTTTCTATTAGAAATTGTGGTAAACTCAGTGGCGCTGTTGATATAACAAAATGCAGTCAGTTATGCATACAATGACTTGCAATTCGGAACTACATACCTTGAGATTTTGACAATATTTCTGTAACATGTCCAACATGTTGGAAGCTGCACCATGTGTTCATTTTTTAATTTCAGAGATCTATCATTTGAAAATTACCTAAACTGTGAGCACCTTCCTAACAATGACTGTATCATAATTTCTGAGTCAGAGACTTCAAGAAACTTTTAAAGATCTCTTCAGATTTTTATGACTTCCAGAAGGTCTCCTGAAGGAATAACATGTATCTTCATAAAAATGAATCATTTTTCTGGTCCAGCACAGATTCCATTCTAATATATATAGATTAGAGACTCATGTTTGTATAGTGAAAATTTAAACTGAACTTCTAATCTCCTTACTGTATAGTTCATCTTTTTTTCAGGAATGGCTAATTTATTTAACTACTAAAACACAGATATGGATAGGTATAATTTAAATCCCACCCAGCCATTTTCTATTTTTAGCCAGGACTCCCACTGATACCTGAATACCAAGGATTTTTTTAACCATCTGATTTTTTGAATATCTGCTTTTCCAGGTTAAAAATCAAAGGAAGCCAAAGCAAAATATATATTTTTAAATCTGTTAATTTCTGGAAAATTACAGAATTCAAATGTAGTGTGATTCTGTCCTACAAGTGGCGGGATCAAAAAACTGCAATATTCACAGAAGTGCTCTAAAACCATTATGTCTAGAAGAGGCCAGAGAATCAGAATGTTTATATTAATACTATTTGTTTAAATATCCCTGCCCTACGTATCTGTTCTGCACCAAAAATGCTAAGAATTGATGAAGCTCCTGACAGAATAAAAATGCCCAGAAATTGAGGAAAAAAACTGTTACAGCTCTGAGTTATCCCCTGCAACTGAATCTGCAGTTTGGTGTTTAGGCACAATATTGTAAAACAACATTAGCAGCTGTTGGAAAACAGGGGCTAAGGCAATAAACAGCATTTACAAGTATTATGTGCTCGATAAAATTTCCCAGTATAGAATAGTATTTCAGTCCTCTTGGGCCTATTTCATGCAATTTGAGTTGATTACATAGCCTTTATGGGTCTCATAGAGGCTATCAAAGAAATGTTTGAAACCCAAATTTTTGTACCAAACAGCAAAGGCAGGTTTATAGTATTTTCATTATAGCATATTTTACTTATTAATCAAGTACTTTTTCAGGTTTATCTAACAGTTATGAGAAAAACTAAAGCATGTTTTTGTATTGATAATTTTAATGGAATGGATACTTTATTTATGATATATAGTATTTTCATTATAGCATATTTTACTTATTAATCAAGTACTTTTTCAGGTTTATCTAACAGTTATGAGAAAAACTAAAGCATGTTTTTGTATTGATAATTTTAATGGAATGGATACTTTATTTATGATAGAAAAATATTCCCGTAAAAGAAACTAGGTTTTTCTCAACAAATACATAGATGAATACTTTTCAGATAATATTTATTTCAGTTTTCAAAGCAAAGACCTAGTGAATATGTTTTAAAGTAGATGCTTTCAAACCATTGTGGTTAAACAACTTTTCTCTAATCAACCATGCAAACCATTACATTCAACCACTTACAAATACTTTTATAAGGCATTTCTACTGCCTATGTATTTGAAAAGCTATCACAATAATGTATAATGATATTACAGTTTCCAGGTAAATGCATTACTGAGAAAAAGGTAACTATTCTGAAAGAAAAGAATGTTTCTATCCGTGCATCTGGACTAATATAAACATTGGAGTGAGTATTTTTTTCAGTTTAATTTTTACTGATTTTAAATTGAGCTTTGTTACTGATTCTCAATAAATTTAGACTCTCTGGATGACTTGACAGGTGTTTCAGGTCAAGTCTCTTTTGTAAGTCAAATTTCCGGTTGACAAACACAATGACTTTGAGAAGATCTACATGGCTGAACAGTTTGCAGGTTTGCCATCCACCCTCATGTAGTCAGATTTAAGTTGGGAGATCATCTGGAAATTGTAAAGGAAGGCTTTTTGCGTTCAGAAAATAATTCTGAATGCTAAAGGAGAAAAATATTGTCTTGGCTTAATGTTTCTAAACATAATACTTAGTAACAAATTCAGCAGACTTGTGCTTTAGGCAAATATTTCAATAGTCCTTTTGAACTCCTTTATGGTCTTAAAAGTGAAGTATATTAAACCTAATGGAATATATAAATACTTATGGTTATTGTAGTTGCCTGATATTAATAATTTATATCTTAAGATACAAATCATGAATGAAACTGTTACTTATTTATTAACGTTAGCGTACTAATGAGAGGCTAACGACAATGTCCAAAACATGACAGAATGTCTCTTAATAATCAGCAAAAATATAGAAATCACACTGCTAGCTATTTCTGCTTCAGAGATTAAAATTTTGTTTCATTACAATGTAAGCAGCAAATTGAGATGCCCTTTCTTAATTCTTAACACCTACATTTTTCCCTATTGATGACTGCCAGAAGATAAAACCAAGCTTCAGTTTAGAGAACTGCAGATTGCTTTTTTCCTCCTTTCCAGTTCTAATACAGTCATAATTTATATTGATGCAGACTTCATTTTTTCCAGTAATTATGACCTGAGTTAACATTTTGCAAGAGCGTCTGCCAAAATCTGTTGACTTTGATGCTGATTGGTGTAAAATGTGGAATTTACAAACCATTGAGAAATCATTCGGTGCCATGCCCTGCAATTAAGAAGAAGTCAAGCAATAATAAAATCCAATTAACTATATGCCTACATTTAAAATTTTCATGCTATAGTCAGAAAAAAGAATATAAAGTCAAGGGCAATAGTTTAGCAGGGCTGCGCTTAGGAACATTTAGGGGAATAAGAAAGCCTAAGCATAAGACTGCCTTCTTTCTCTATCTGCATATAATTTCTTATCTTCCTTAGCCATTTTAATTAAGATGTTAATAAATGTGCTCATGGATTTAATACTCAGTGACAATTATGGGTCATAAACAGAAATAAAATCCAATGCAATGGATGTATAACTTGTAAAAAAAACCCCAACTTTGTTGCCTAGTCAACTAGACTAGATTTTTTTTTTTTAGTGTTTTTTTTTTTCCTCCCTGAAGGGAAAGATTGCTGCTTAGAAAAAGATTTAAACTTTAGCCCCCACATATTAAGCAGAATTAATGATCTATTTGCTTAGACACCATATATTACTTCTAGTTTATCCATCCACTGGGTAAACGATAGGCACTACTTGGTCACAATGATAGATTTGAATGCAGGCTGGGACATCAATCAGTGCTGGCAACTGATTAGTTGTTTGTGTCTTTGACAAGCTCTTCCATCTCACTGAATGAAAGCTTGCTGATTGCTCTCACTTCTCTCCACATTCATTGCCCTCCACTGCCACTATATTATATGGTTAATGCTGATGGTGGAAATACTCCTTGACAGCTAACACTGAATATCTTCCATTCCCTTATCATTATATATACGCTATTCCGTGTTCCTTTGAGGACTGGAATTTCTAAGTGAGGTCATCCATGCTATTAGATATACAGAGGCTGGCACAGTAAGGCTGGGACCTGCTGATGAGAGAGATTTTGTGTATGACAAAAGAAAAAAAAAAGACATTGCATAATAGCATTATATGTGTCTGACTGTTCACAATTTAAGATCTTGTTATTGAATACAAGCAAATTATTGGTAAGAAGGGAAAATTATCAAGAATGGAAACAACTGGAAGGCTTTGTAGCAGCGTTGCTGCATGTGAGGTTAAAGACACAACGGGAAATTCAGTCTCCTTCTGTGACCAATGGTAAAAAGCTGGAATCTTGCCTGAGACTTTCAAAGCTGTTCAAGAAACCTAGTTGATCCCTACCAACTAACAGTATTAAAAAAGTTTCAATCTTTGACAGTAATAGACTAGACTTATATGATAATTTCAGCATCACTGCATTATGATTATATTTTCTTTTCTGCAACAGATGGAGAGAATACATTAGCTGAAGTATTTGAGGAAGTACAGAAGATATGAATGTTGACTTTCATGACATCGAACATTGTCTGGCATATGTTTGACATGTGTGATTAAGCATCAGGAGGACTGGAACAGCAATAAAGAAGATCAGTGAAGTTTTAATCAGATCTAAAGTGCATACTGAGGACAGGACAAGATCAACGTGCTTCAAAGAGACTTTTGGGTTTTCTAATAAGAGATAAAAAGTGACTATTTACACTTGCCTTAGACAATAACAAATTTTTGATGAAAGATAGGTGGGATTTTTAGTTGTCGTCAGGGGTTTTTATTTTGTTGTTTTGTTTTGGTGTTTGCTTACTATTATTACTATTACTATTACTATTATTGTTATTGTTATTGTTATTGTTATTGTTATTGTTATTGTTATTGTTATTGTTATTGTTATTGTTATTGTTATTGTTATTGTTGTTATTATTATATTTTCCTAAGATAATGTTTCTAAATATGAATCAGATACAAAAAATTAAATACTGTTTTACATATGAAAACCTAGGTGATAAATATGGATATATAATGGAAAAATACAGGTGTTATTGTATCTAGTAGGGTATCTATGAAATGCCAATTGTGAAAAAAAAGAAATAAAGTTTACAGTATCTCAGCTGCACATGTCAATTCTCTGGAAGCAAATAATATTTCATTTATCAAAGGGGAAGACTGAAGGGGGCAATGAAGAGTTGATCACTCCATACACTCTATACATTTCATGCAAATAAATGCATGAAATTTCAGTATTACTAAGTAATAACTTAATGTAAGATTACTATCAGATCGGTATTCTTGATTTCATTAGGAAATAGATACACATGGAAAACATAGCTGTGATTAATGGTCTTTCTTATTCCAGGCTCAGGTTGAAAACCAATCCTAAGCCTCTGGTCACTTTTGCAGTGAGTGACCCCACCTCCTGCTTTGACTTTCCTCACATATAATCTGGTTGCCCTACCAGGTATGATAGAAAGATGGTCTCTGCCAAGGGAAAACTATTTGGTAGTGATTTCTGATTTGCCATGGTTCTTTTTGATATATTAGATCATTGAAAGCTATATAGTCCCTTCAGAGTAGATTTTCTAGTTAGCAGATGGATTCATACAGACATTCAGTGTGATGAGATTGTTGGACAGTCATTTTCTCTGGTTCATGCACGCTGTGACAGAAGGTCAGGAAAATAAACAGTATGATGTAAAAGCTTTGGAATATCAGACACAATTTGGTAGAGAAACAAAACAATAGAGACTGACAAGATCAGTAATGCAGCCAAGTGAGTTATGGTTCAAAAAACATCAGCTCTTGTCCTCTATCCATTAAATGAACACTGATAACAGTCCATGCCATTCATATTTGCTGTGCTTTATTACTCATCTTCAGCCAAGGAATTCAAACATCGTACATTACTCTTAGTTTGTAGATTTATCTTTAAAGAAATAATTGCAATTTTTTTATATAGGACATTATTTTCCATACTGTATATTTCAGATATCCATCAACACTTCCAGTAATGAGGAAAGGCCATGAAATCCTTTGCATCCCGCAGCTTGAATCACAACAGACTTCTAGTTGCTACCTGTCATACGTGTTTTGCACACTTCTTGTGGACACTTGAATCCATTCAAGCTCAGGTTTCAGGTTTTCAATTATTCTAAGACTTCAAAGTCACACTAAATATTACTTCCTATATTGCACTACATTGCACTGCACTGTACCATCTTGAACATGGATGTCTAAGACTTATTATTCCAAATATGGGAAAGAGGGACATGGTGTTACTGAAAGGAAAGACTCAGCACACACCCCAAGGAATCTGTAATCTAAATTGCAGGATTGTCACAATATACATAGGGTCATAGAACCAAAGAAATTATGAGACTGGAAAAACCTCTAAGGTCAACAGAGTCCAAACATTGACTTAACACTGCTATGTTCACCACAAAACCATTCTGAACACTTCCAGGGATGGTAATTCTACCACTTCCCTGAGTTGCCTGTTTCAATGTCTGATCACCTTTTCAGTGAATAAATTTTTCCTAGTATATACCCTAAATATATTAGGTTTCCTCTCTCCTATCATTTGCTACATGGGAGAAGAGACCAACCCTCACCTCACTGCAACCTCCTTTCAGGTATTTGTAGACAGTGATAAGGTAGCCCCTCCGCCTTCTTTCCTCCAGGCTAAACACCCCTGGCTGTCTTAGCTGATCCTCACTGGACTTGTATTCCAGACCCTTCATCAGCACCACTGCCCTTCTCTGGACACACTCCAGCACCTCAGTGTCTTTCTTGTAGTGAGAGACCCAGAACTGAATACAGGATTTGAAGTCTGGCCTTATCAGCGCTGGATACTGGGGGACAATCCCTGCCCTGCTCCTGCTGGCCACGCTGTTGCTGGCACAGGCCAGGTGCCATTGGCCCTCTTGGCCCCCTGGGCACTGCTGGCTCATGCTCAGCTGCTGTCACCAGCACCCCCAGGGCCTTTTCCTGTGGGCAGCTCTGCAGCCACTCTGCCCCAGCCTGTGGCACTGCCTGGGGCTGTTGTGGCCCCAAGGAAGATTTGGCACTTGGCCTTGTTGTACCTCACCCCATTTGCCTCAGCCCATCAAAACAGTCCATCCAGATCCCTACAAAATTTTCCTTCTCTCCAGGAACAGTTCAATCAACACTACAATTTAACTCGGAGTCATGTCCAAATTAGTGCAAGCTCACATTTTCATAAATAATTGATATTGCAATTTTGCTTTTTAGTTAGAACCCCCCAAATTTCATTTTTGCAGTAAAAATAAGCACAAACATTTTTTACCTGAAGCAATAATAATTATGCAAAAGGTGAGACTATCTATATTTTCGCACAGCTCTTTAAAATGTCAAAGACATATTAATGTCTATCTAAAATGTGATTGTATCTATGAAATAATTACTGGAGCTATGTTGCAGCACAATGTGTTAAATTTTAATGTTATTTATAGACTAGTGTTTGCAAATTAATAATAACATTGCCTATACATACGTATCTGAGTAAGGAAAACAGTACTACGTTCTCTTTATTTCCAACTTTGTTTCAATTTTCCTTTTTCTCTATTGTCTTTTATTTAATGGGAATTTATGACCTTGAATTTCTTGTTGGATTAAGCTGTAACAATGTTAATGATACTTACTACCTCTTTTAAAGTCTGGCTAATATATTCAACAATATTAGGATAAAGGACAGAAAACCTTTTTTCCCTTCAGCATTACCTCATGGGCCCACTATTTAATAGCGTGTATTTCTTAACCTGGTTTTATGGAGTGTTCAGTGTTGTCATATTACCAAGCTTCTTTGGTACCATACTTTACACAATTGACTTAACAGTTGAATAACTGTTATTATGGAATATTGAAGACTATGAAGTACTGGAAAACTACATTTATAATTGATCCTTTCCAAGAAGTGATCTACCTTTTATTGCTATCATACTGTGTGCAGAATGCCTAGAAAAATTCTTATTGTTATAAAAAAAAACCCCAAAAATATACAATTACTACTGGAAAATAAGAGGAATGCAAGCTTTTTAAAGGTTTAACACAAAGGAACATGTAACTTTGGAGTGCAAATATACCTTTCATTAGCTAGTTATCCAAGTAGTGTTTTGTTTTTAGCTTGGAATCTAAAAAGAATCATGGAGAAAATATTTTTCACTTATGTATAAAACAAAAATGCATGAGAATCATGTTGAGTCTGTATTTTCAACTTGTGTTTCTGTTTACTCTTAATCACTAAAAATAGAATGGAGGTAAAAAATATATGTATATATAAATAGATCTCTACAGCACAAAAATGTTACAATGACAATTTTTTCTGAAAGAAGCAGTACACTGAAACTATATGGCATTTGAAAAGGTAATGACAAATTACTTTCTCTTTGGGAAGACTGGTGACGATGCGGATTTGGAAATTGAAACATGTTTTAACTCTCTTACATGTTTTAACTCTCACAGTTTATTCTTTGACTGAAACTGGTTTTCAACCACTCACAAAGACAAATCCTTTAAAATGTTCATTGCTGTTGTAGAGACATGAGCATTGAAAAGCAATGAACCAAATCTTCTTCTTATAAAAGTCACTGGGAATGCTGTCCCTGAGTTCACTGAAAGTAATTTTATCCATCATGAATAGTCATATATGACGATGAACACTGAAACTGGATTGCAACACAAGTTATTTGGGATGTTTTTTAAAGAGTTGCAGCAGCTGAAACTCCCTACATTCTAATTTACAACTGAAATTAGTATGTCAGATATGGCATACCAGAAAGCAGCATAGCCAGCAGTACTGTTACAAGTTTTATACAGTAGATTTGTGCTATTTTGTGTCAATTACACAACCCTTCTTTAATGTTTCCATGAAAAAAAATAAATATATTATGAAAATGCTTTCTAAAAGTTAGCCAACTTTTCCATGAGCTACAAAAAAAAGGCCAGTAGAAGTTTATTTTCCCATAGTGTAATCAGTAAGTTATTCTACATAATACATGTAAAAATCTAATGAAAATTTGCCCCTGTATGTTTATTCAGGACACCCGCTTTACCATGTCTCCTCCAGTCTCTAATGTAAATCAACCAGATGGGATCACAGAAACTCTATTTATTGACTCTGATCTTCAGTTAGATTCTGGAATATTTATTATAAGGAAATGTCCCAGTTTCAATGGAATTAACTCTCTGATTACAGTTTATTTTGATAAGGTATCTCATTCTAGCAGTACCTTGTTTCATTTTCCTCAATGGAAACCAATCACAGAGAACTACAATACTCACCTCCTCCTCCTTCAAACACAGAGATACTTAATTTGCCATTGGTATGAGACATATTTTCAATCAAACACATTTCAGCACCCAAGCTTATATTTTTCTAAATCCTCCTGCTTGTCAGATATCCAGCTGTGCTGATGTCAGAATTTTCAGAAGCTGTCCATAAGAAAAATTATGTTTCAGAAACATCTTTATATGCAAACTAACTGCACTGCTAAAGAAAAAACAAATAAATGTCCATATTGCCCTTGTCTGTCTCCTCTGTGCTGCATATATATTTCAAACTTTTATCCTGTATCATTAAACACATTAAAATTTCTGATATCATTAACAAAGGAAAAAGAGATCAAACTTTTTTGGGGGGGGCAAAGACACTACTTAAAAAATATTTTCACTGGAAATTATTTCTCTTATAAAGACATCTTCATCTAAATGTGATGCTAAACTCTTTTAAAATGAAAAATAATTATCGAGGAGGATGTGGGAGATCAAAAATTATTAGAAAAAATACATTATTAAGGGAATATACTTTTGATTTTGAAAAGTTTAATGCATTTTTAGTCTTTTCGTATCCTTAATTTATGGAAGGACGGATGGCAGATGTCATTTGATGGGGGGATTTGAGGGATTGTAAGGGATGGCATGGTTAAACAGGTTTATATAATATGGTTAATGGTTTTATAAGCAGCACACCAATTACCATACAGAAGACCAGTATGAGAAAAATCAGGGAAAAGAAAAAGCACTATAATAAAAACTGTTTTTATTTGTCTAGCAGGGAAAAAATAGAGATAAATAGAAGAGCAAACCAGATTAAAG